AGGGACACTTATTTACCGCCCGGCGAAAACCAGTGGCACAGGAGGACGCAGAGGAGGAAGAGAGGAACGAAAAGAAGGAGGAGGAGGAGGAGGAGGGGAGGAGGAAGAGGAGGACGAAGAAGGAGGACTGGGAGGAGGAAGCGGAAGAGAAAAAAACAATTAGCCTGGCGAAGAACCCAACCATATGCAGTTGTCAGTACCGCAGCTGCGGGTTTCATCTTCAATGGAACTCCCCATAGGACTACGGAACGTGTGAGGGGTGTGCCGAGATGGGTGCCACTGGGGCATTCGGCGAAGCTCCCTATGGGGACATGAAACACGCGCGGGGCGTGCCGACATGGGTGGCGGAAACGCATGTGCGGGCCGCCACTGGGGCCTCCAGTGGAGCTCCCTATGGGTCCCCGAAACATGATGCTGCTGCGGGGGGGGGGGGCCGGGATGGGTGGCGGAGACGCATGTAAGCGCCGCTACTGGGGCCTTCGGTGGAGCTCCCTATGGGGCCACGAAGCGCGTGAGGGGTGTACTGGGATGTGTGGCGGGGACGCATGTGAGCGCCGCCACTGGGGCCTTCGGTGCAGCTCTCTATGGGGCCACGAAACGTGTGAGGGGTGTGCCGAATTGGGTGCGGGTGGTGACGCATGCAGGCGGTGCCACTGGGGCCTTCGGTGGAGCTCCCTATGGGGCCACGAAACCTGTTGTTGTGAGGGGCGTGCTGGGATGGGTGGCGGGACGCATGTGAGCGCGGCCGCTGGAGCCTTCGGTGGAGCTCCCTATGGGGCCACGAAACGTGTGAGGGGTGTGCCGAATTGGGTGGGTGTGGGTGACGCATGTGAGCGCCGCCACTGGGGCCTCCGGTGGATGGGGCCACGAAACCTGTCAGGGATGTGCCGAAATGGGTGTGCGGGACGCATGCGCATGTGAGCGCCGCCACTGGGGCCTTCGGTGGAGCTCCCTATGGGGCCACGAAACGTGTGAGGGGTGTGCCGAATTGGGTGTGCGGGACGCATGCGGGCGGCAGCACTGGGGCCTTCGGTGGGGCTCCCTATGGGGCCACGAAACGTGTGAGGGGTGTGCCGAATTGGGTGTGCGGGACGCATGCGGGCGGCAACACTGGGGCCTTCGGTGGGGCTCCCTATGGGGCCACGAAACGTGTGAGGGGTGTGCCGAATTGGGTGTGCGGGACGCATGCGGGCGGCAGCACTGGGGCCTTCGGTGGAGCTCCCTGTGGGGCCGCGAAACGTGTGAAGGGGTGTGCCGAAATTGGTGTGCGGGACGCATGCGGACGGCAGCCATGGGGCCTTCGGTGGAGCTCCCTGTGGGGCCACGAAACGTGTGAGGGGTGTGCCGAAATGGGTGTGCGGGACGCATGCGGACGGCAGCCATGGGGCCTTCGGTGGAGCTCCCTATGGGGCCACGAAACGTGTGAGGGGTGTGCCGAAATGGGTGTGCGGGACGCATGCGGACGGCAGCACTGGTGCCTTCGGTGGAGCTCCCTGTGGGGCCACGAAACGTGTGAGGGGTGTGCCGAAATGGGTGTGCGGGACGCATGCGGACGGCAGCCATGGGGCCTTCGGTGGAGCTCCCTATGGGGCCACGAAACGTGTGAGGGGTGTGCCGAAATGGGTGTGCGGGACGCATGCGGACGGCAGCGCTGGGGCCTTCGGTGGAGCTCCCTGTGGGGCCAAGAAACGTGTGAGGGGTGTGCCGAAATGGGTGTGCGGGACGCATGCGGACGGCAGCCATGGGGCCTTCGGTGGAGCTCCCTATGGGGCCACGAAACGTGTAGGGGTGTGCCGAAATGGGTGTGCGGAAACGCTGTACTGGGCGGGTGAACCAAGGAAGGGGTGAGGAGGGAGGAGGAGGAGAGGAAGGAGGAAGGAAGGAGACGCGGGGCACCGTCTCTTCAAAACGAGGACCCAACACCACAGGATGGTTGGGACGAAAAGAAGGAGGAGGAGGAGGAGGGGAGGAGGAAGAGGAGGACGAAGGAGGACTGGGAGGAGGAAGCGGAAGAGAAAAAAACAATTAGCCTGGCGAAGAACCCAACCATATGCAGTTGTCAGTACCGCAGCTGCGGGTTTCATCTTCAATGGAACTCCCCATAGGACTACGGAACGTGTGAGGGGTGTGCCGAGATGGGTGCCACTGGGGCATTCAGCGAAGCTCCTTAATGGACATGAAACACGCGCGGGGAGTGCCGACATGGGTGGCGGAAACGCATGTGCGGGCCGCCACTGGGGCCTCCAGTGGAGCTCCCTATGGGTCCCCGAAACATGATGCTGCTGCGGGGGGGGGGGCGGGATGGGTGGCGGAGACGCATGTAAGCGCCGCTACTGGGGCCTTCGGTGGAGCTCCCTATGGGGCCACGAAGCGCGTGAGGGGTGTACTGGGATGTGTTGCGGGGACGCATGTGAGCGCCGCCACTGGGGCCTTCGGTGCAGCTCCCTATGGGGCCACGAAACGTGTGAGGGGTGTGCCGAATTGGGTGCGGGTGGTGACGCATGCGGGCGGTGCCACTGGGGCCTTCGGTGGAGCTCCGTATGGGGCCACGAAACCTGTTGTTGTGAGGGGCGTGCCGGGATGGGTGGCGGGGACGCATGTGAGCGCGGCCGCTGGGGCCTTCGGTGGAGCTCCCTATGGGGCCA